GTCTCTTCCCCACCGCCGCCTCCCCTTTCCCTCCCCCTCCCCCAATCAAGTCCCCCTCCCTTGTCAGCCCAAAGAGCAATCAGGGTTCCCTGCCCTGTGGGAAGTCCAAGGACCACCCACCTCCATTCTTAATGCTTTTCCTGAATATTCCATCTTACTTATGACATGCCTCCATGAGGCTCTGCCCTCTAAATAATAAGTAAATAGATGTAGCTATTCATTGTTGAAGACTGGTGTCAAGTTCAATGCCTGACTGATACAGTAGTTGCTGGTATTTATCAATTTGATAATGGCAAGGTGGAATCCAGGTAAACTCAATAGAACTGCTTCTGTGGGAATCTCATAGTAAGAACCACCAAGGATTACGACAGCCAAGCATTTTAGGACGTACTGCTCCCCTCATGCCTTCCCAGTTATTTGATGAAACTCTTTTGCTTTTTTCCCACTGGATGCAATGTGTGTATACCAACAAGAACTTAGAAGCTGTACTTTGGCCATCCCTAACCTACACTGATGGCCCGTTTTGTTCCTGAGCCAATTATTCTTACAGGCATTAACTGTTGTCAACAAATTTTACTGAGTTTCCTTCCCATCCCCTGAGATTTACTGCGTGTGGCAAAGTCAGCCCCAAGCATTTCCAGCCCTCGAAGCACCTTTTAAAGGGAAGCGGTCTCCATGTTTCTGTCCCTCCACTTGACACTTACTGGGTTTTCCTCCTAGTTCCAAAGTTTTATTGCGCCCATACCATTTTATTTAAGCTGTTTCAACTCAACTTTAGAAGTATGTATTTCTATTAATAATGGAAGATAGTGTGTGATGTTGGGTTGATATTAACACATCTGAAAGAAATTTACCTCCATCTTTATGTATTGGCTAATACAAAATGTTTAACAAGGAGGGGTTTTGAACCCTATTACAATTGTCCTAAGTAAGTTTGTTTTTGGAGGGGGGGGGTCTTTTCTGATGATTCTTGCTTTGCGTAGATGGACGCAGTTTTGTGAATGAGTGTGCATTGGCCTTTGAGCCCAAGTTTTGTGAGAGGGCAGCAGACAGCCTCCGGGATGGTGGGGTGTGAATATCTCCGCAGCATAAGTAGAACACCTGATCCAAACCCGATGCAGCTGCCCAAGATGCTTTACAAAATGAAGGGCCCAATGGAGAACGCTCATTACAGATGCTTCCCCAGGTGCCAGAGAAAGAGCGTGTCAATCAGGCTGATGCTCTCGTGGTCCTGTAAGGAAAGCAGGGTCATCGTGGAGGCGAAAGTTCACTAGGAAAGAGCTCTGTGTTGCCCCAGCCAAGTGCTGGAACCCACACACAGGCGGCCCCTCTCTAACTTTGTTTTGTCTGAAGCACACCGAAGGGTAAAATGAAATGGGAGACGTTAGGTTTGTCAGAGGCATAATTTTTGACAGCTATGGCGATTAAACCATTTTAACAATGCTGTTCGGGAACTCCTGGAATTTTTCCCCTTTGAGGTATTAAAAAAAAAAAAAAAAAACGTTGACCGGCAACCAACCACCTTGAATGGTTTCAATTAAGAGCAACCAGAAGAAAGAGAGTTTCTGGGGTTCTTTTTAGTTTAAGAGTCTATAAACAGTCCCTTAAATAAACTGTATATTCTTTACCTCGGGCGGTCTGGGCAAAGGAGACATAAATCAGTTAGAAAAGAAAGTTGGAAACCCTCCCGGCTGCCCAGATTTACGGCTTTTGTAAAACATCCCTACAATGTGCATGCTTATTAAGAACAGATCTGAGCCAACAGACGGCGTCCTGCACGTGTCAGAGCATACTGCTCTTAAAGAGTTTAAGTGAAACTTTGCAATTAGCTTTCATTGTTACTGACTGCACAAGCCTTCCTAGGTTTAGGTTATCCTTATGAACTCAAGCCTCTTTCCTTTGATAAACAGAGCTCAGAAAACTACCACCAGACCTGTCAATCATTATTCGTGTGACTTTGGCAGGCACTTAAACGTCCAGGATTGAAATGTCCTTGTCAATAAAACAAGGGGATTTTGTTGAAGTAAATGACGTTTAATCTCCACAGCTGAGGACTAGCTTGTGAGCACCAAGCCCCCGCGCTATTGAAGGAAGGAGAATCCTGGATGTAACTAGTGACCAAGGAACATTTAGCTTCTTTTGTCTTCTTGACATTATTTCGGTTGGTCCCCAAAAGTAGGCAATCCACTCACTGTGAGAACTAACAGCCAGCTGCTCTCCTGTATTTTAATGTGGCCTTGAGTTCTCCAAGGACAGAACAGAAACTCAGATGCGGCCACAAATTCCCAGGTCCTGAGCCCGAGGTTATCATTTCTCTCTGATATCAAGGACGGTCTGGTGACTGTCGTCTTTGCTCTTTAACATTGCCTCAGCTTTCAGAAGCAGGGAAAAGGACTCTCTGAGTCGACCCAAAGCCTTTCAGCAGCCTACCAGGTACGCCTGTCCAATGACAGATGTGGAGAGTATTCAAAAAGAGATGCGTGGCCGCCGCTAGCTCTGCTTTGGGCCCGCATGGATTTTGAGCTCCACCCATGTGCATT